TCAAAAGATCACAAATCGTATCTAGCCAAAGACATTACCCTTAAAAATTGAAAAAAATTCCCTCGTCCCCCGTAAATGGGAGAAACCTCCGAAAAAATTACAAATTTAAAAATGGCTAATTTTCGAAATTTATTCAATTTTTTTTACTAAAAACATCCGTAACTTTTTAAAAATAAATATATCAATATAATTCTTTTTTTTATAGATGCATGATGTCATTACCTATCATTTGAAATATTTTTTTTATAAATCTGACTTTTTACCTGCCCACAGAGGGGATTTAAAATGACAACTTTTTTACAAAAAATTAATTTTTTCAACTTAACTTTTGAAAGTGTTCCATAAGGTCTGACACTTTTATATATATCTTAAATTAAAGCTAATGTAATATTATTTATCATGAAAAAAAAAAATTTTGACTTTATTTTATCTTCAGGGTGAAATAGGCTACCGAATGCTATTTTTGTGTGAAAATTTTCGATTTTGTATTTTACATTTTTAACTTTATTATGCTATAACTTTTTGAAAAAAGTATGGATCAGTACAATTTTTTTATGAGAAGTAGTATTTATATAGATCTTTCATTTGACATACTTTTTTTTTAAATCCAACCATTTTCCTAAATACGGGGGAGATTCAAAACATAAAAATGCATATAGAGAGTAGAACTTTTTCAACTTAACTTTTGAAAGTGTTCCGGAAAGTTTGACATTTTTATATATATCTTAAATTAAAGCTAATGTAATATACTTTATAATGGTAAAAAAAAATTTCGGACTTTATTTTATCTTCATGGTGAAAACAGACATTAAACTTAATAAAAAAAATACGATTTTTGTAAAAAAATTCTTTTTTATATTTTTAACTTTATAATGCTATAACTTCTCGAAAGATGTATGGATCAATATAATTCTTTTTTTTGTAGATGCATGATGTCTTTACCTATCATTTGGTATATTTTTTTTATAAATCTGACTTTTTACCTGCCTACAGGGGGGGATTCAAAATGACAACTTTTTCACAAAAAATTGACTTTTTCAACTTAAATTTTGAAAGTGTTCCGGAAAGTCTGACACTTTTATATATATCTTAAATTAAAGCTAATGTAATATACTTTATCATGGAAAAAAAAAATTTCGGACTTTATTTTATCTTCAAGGTGAAAATGGCTACCAAATGCTATTATTGTGTGAAAATTCTCAATTTTATTTTTTACATTTTTAACTTTATAATGCTATAACTTATTGAAAAGTGTATTGATCAATATAATTTTTTTATGGGAAATACTACTTTTTAATAAACACTGTTTCGTTCGACATACTTTATCTTAATCGAGATATTAATAAGGAACTAGCAGTTTATGAAGCTTTTGGAATAACCACCAATTTTTTAAAATTAAACACTATCTAAAGATTTGCATCGAAGCGTTTTTTTTTTTGATAGTGATTTTAATCACTGTGATATCATTANCACTATCTAAAGATTTGCATCGAAGCGTTTTTTTTTTTGATAGTGATTTTAATCACTGTCAGATATCATTATACTTGATCCAATTATGCCACGTCACCACTGCGCCGTGACCCCCCTGTGCTGGGTTTTTTATATTATTACTTATTACATATAAAATAATAATTAAAAGAAAAAAAAATTTGTTTTCAAATTATTACCGATTTGATTTTCAATATGTTAAAAATAATCAGTCCAAATTTTCATTTTTAACCTATTTTTTTGGTTCTTTAAAGTTGATAAAAAATTTTTGATAACGATTTGTGAAAGTTTATAGTAAAAAAAATTGAATATATTACCATAACTTTTAGCTCAATTACAAGTTTAAAATTAACATCTAGGCCAGTCAACAAAGGAAAAATTTCTTAAAAAATTCCCAACCAAATTTTGTTNTGGCAGAAAAAATTCTCAACCAAATTTTTTTTTTCTTAAGTTGAATTAAGATATGTATGATATAACATACTAATAGTCCCCATTGATTGGAATTGAGCTTTTTTTTACAGCCTCGCAAAAGTTCCAAAATATGAGCTTTTTAATTTTCTCAAACAAAAATTTAACTTACAAAAAAAAGTTTCGTACCAAAAGTTGTTTAAAAGACAATTCTAAATAAAAAATATATCTTATATTTTTTCATTTAAACAAATATTTTTCGAGTTACATTACATTTAATATGAGTACTAAAATTTATTTTCAATTTTTTTCATTTTACGGTTNAATATGAGTACTAAAATTTATTTTCAATTTTTTCATTTTACGGTTACTTTTAATCATGTTATACTTACATTAGACACAATGTTATGAATGCATATGTGTGTATGTGTGAGTTTATTTATTTATTGTATCAAAGTATAGTGTATAATAATATACAACCGATAGAGTAGGTAATTGATTTGACGCTATATTGTTTAAACTCAACTAAGCGCTAAATTGTACATTCCCAAACAACAATCATATTATGTCAATTGCCACTGGAGATCCTGGTAATCTTTTTTTTTTCTTTGCCATAATCCCAACTACTTGGGGTCGGCCACCCTTATCCTAAGCTTCCACTTGACACGACCTCCCACATCTTCTACATTCACATCAGCTGTCCTCATATCGTGTTCAATAACATCCCTCAATCTCTTTTTTGGTTTTCCTCTACCTCTTCTTCCTTCAAAATTCATTTCTGTAACTGTTCTTACAGCTTCCAATTCTTCTCTCCTCATAACATGACTAAACCATCTAAGTCTATTTTCTGTCATCTTATCCACGATTGACGTAACACCTATACTTCCTCTTATATGTTCGTTCCTTATCCTATCTTCTCTAGTCACTCCACTCATCCAACTAAACATTCTCATCTCTGCTCTACTTTCTTATCAACCGCCCAACACAATGAACCATACATCATAGCTGGTCTCACAATTTCATACTAAATTTAAAAACTATAATTAGTATTTATTCGTATATTATATTTTAAAATCAAAGAACTACTAATCAGGATATAATTAAAGAAATAAGAGTTCATGTTGCTTTTAAAATATTTCACCAATNTGATGTTGCTTTTAGAATAATGCATCAATTTCTCTAAATGAAACACTATCTACAGATTTGCATCGAAGCGTTTCTTATGATAGTGATTTTAATCACTGTCAGATATCATCTATACTTGTCCCATCTATGCCTCGTCCACACTGTGCTACCGTTTTTTATAAAAGGTTTTAATCAATCGACCAATTTTAATGCGATGGGTGGGCTTGTTTTTTTTCATCACAAAGTTTGGTGACACGAGGAGAGATATTTGATAAAGCTACTCTCAATTCATTGCTGACATCCATTCTCCTCGGTACTTAGACTTCATTGATGCTAGGGCGGAAAAGCCTGTTTCACACAAATACGTAGTAGCAAATAGGATTAGTATTTTAATGTCTTTTTCAAACAATATCGGGCAGTCTTCTTTTACACTTACCCAGAATCTTGTTAGTGAGTTGTCTTGTTCAAATGTAGCTTTCAAAAACTCATCACATTGAGGATCAACGAGCTGTTCTTGTTCTGCCAAACTCAACGAACAACATTCCTTCAGCGGTTGAAATGGTTGTTTTACCCAAAGAAATGGTTGCAGATCTTCATAAAAGTATTCTTTAAATTTTTCTTTTAAAGTTGACAGATGATTTACAAAACATGTTGTTAGTTCTTGAGGAATCTCCTCACGCTCAACTTCTTGTACCATATTCAATAACGTTGGAAAAACGGTTAAGTCCGTGGTTTTCAAAACAGCCTCCCACAGTGACAACTTTTTAATGAAGCCTTGTATCTTTTCTTCCCAAATAAGAATATTGGCTTTTTCTTTTTGTAGAGATTTATTCAACACATTAATTTTTGAAAAAATATCCATAAGGTAAGCTAGCTTCAAAAGGAACTTCGTATCGCAGAACAACTCTGCTGAAGGTTTTTTACAATCTTTTAATAACATAAATACTTCATTTCTAAGTTAAAATATTCTATTTAAGACATTTCCTCGAGATAGCCACCGAGCTTCGGTGTGAAATAGCAGTGCTGTATGCTTCGAGCCCATTTCTTCACACAAAACTTTAAACAACCTTGACTGTAGTGGCTGTGCTTTTATTATTAATTGACTGTTTGAACGACAGTTTGAAGAATTTCATTTAGGCTGGGGCACTAAATCTTTTGAAGCTAGAGCCTCTCTATGAATGATGCAATGGGTCCATTTGATGTTTGGGGCAACAGCTTTAACCAAACCTTGAAGACCATTGTACTGGCCTGCCATAGCCCTGGCTCCATCCTTGCACAAACCAACGCATTTCTTCCATTGCAAATCATGTTGTTTAAAAAAATTGTCAATAATATCAAAAATACACTTTCCAGTGGCATTGGTGGTTAAGGACTCACAAAAAGTATTTCTTCTCTTATATCCTTATCATCAATAAATCTAACATAAGCCAATAAATAAGATTGCCTGTTTATTAGTCGCTTCATTGACTTCTTAATTTTGTAGATTTTTTCATAATTAAACGTACTAAAAATAACAAGTAGAAATAATATCAGAATAATATAAAATAAATAAACAGAACTTATTCACACAGACGCACTCACACGCACAAGGTACCAAACACGATATCAAACTGTCAACATTATAATACCGCAGCCTTGTCATAGTTAAACGCATAGAACTGTGTATTTCTAAAAATAGAATGACGGCCAATAGTGATTTATCGATAAAACAACAAATCTTTTATAGATAATGGGTCGTGTTGATTGTTGCTGCCTGTATGTGATGTATAAATATACTGAATTGTATATAATACAGAACGCGATTATTATTACGGAAATTTCACAAATCTTTTTCTGCCCTACCAATACAATGTTGATTTTTAAAATTTTTTGCGCCCCACACTTTGAGAACCTCTTAATTAAATAATCATGATAAGGTGTTGTGATTTGTTTGTGCGCTTGCGAGATAGTCAGCTATGTACTACTTCAGACCGGTTCATGGACGCCATTTTTGTGTACATTCACCCCACTCCTTTCCTATCTTGAATGTTATTTGCACTGCTCACCGCATACATTGTCGTCTTATGATTCAAATTGTTCTTAGTAATTTCCGGCACTGGGTATTTAATTTTTTTTGACCCCTACTCTAAAGGCTAGCCGTGTTGTCGCCAACGGACCGCCGGGTCAAACGCCGAATGTTTTGTCGGGGAATAGCCTTAGGCGGAACTGGTCATAGTATTTCCGTCCGTAGCGTGAGTTTTTTTTTTTTGTTGTGTGCGCTACAACTATTTTGTGTCATATTTTGTTATCGTGAGTGACTGCTGTTTATTTATAATGTAAATTTTTTTATTGGCGTCGGCTGAACCTATCTCCGGTTTCTTTGGCCCTTCGGGGCTGCTAATGTATATACTTTTATAATGTTTTGAGCCAGAATTTATTTTTTTTTATTAGTGCGCTGTGCCATAAGCACGTATAGCGAGTTTTTTTATATTAAATTTTTTGTAGGTGTCCCTATTCATTTTTTTTATATTTATATGTGGTGTCGTAGTGCATTTTATTACGCAATATCCCAACGTCTAGCAAGCTAAGTCCAACTGTCTAAAACCAGTCGCTTACTTGGGACGTATACCCGCCGTGCTTAGCAGCAATGCCGCGATTAATAGCCGATGGGTACCCGAAGACGTTCATCGTATTATCTCATTGTAAAAGTTTAGGTGTAACTAGTATTTTTTTTATTAATATCTGTTTTTTTTTATTTCTTTCTGTTCCCCATTAATTTGTAGACGAGGTTTTTTGACCGTTCGGTTTTTTGCCTCGTAGTAACTTAATTTTTTTTTTGTTTTTTTTTTAATAAAGTCCCCTTAATGTACTTTAACTATCATCTTATTTTTTTTTTTGCGTGTTCCATCTTCAATGGACTCGTGTATTTTTTTATCATTTTTCCTTTCAAAAATCAACTCCCCTTAGTTTATAATGTATTGGCAACGGCCTTGTTTAAGGTCATCTCTCATTATTATGGTTATGTGACAACTGTCAGGAGGTTTTGGTGTACATCTACTATCAACGACTCAACGGACATCAACTTTAATCTTTATTAATTTTATATTTATTTGTTTTTTATCTTAAATTGCTTTTAATTTACAATGTTTAATTTTTTTTTTAATCTTACAGTGGTCCGACAATACAGTGTCTTGCCCAGCGAGTTGGCGACCCTTTCTTTTCAATGCGCCATGAAAGTTACAAATTTTTCGTTGCGGTCAATTAGTTTGATTTTTTATTTATATTTGTAACCTTTCACAATATTAAAAATAATAAAGTATTGGTCGATAAAAATGTTTGAACTAGTATATCGTAGGTAATTAAGAATTGAAAATAAAGAATGGGGGTGAAGCGCGAGTTTATTTTTATTAATATCTAAGTACTTTTAAACCACTCTTCTTTTCCTAACACAATGTAAAATTTTTTATGTCTTTTAGAATCATTGTTCAAAAGTATTTATCACTCACATTTGTCAGTTATTTTCTTTGGTAGATTATTTTCTAATTTTCAGTTAGTTAAACATGTAAATTACCATTTAACAAATGTAAGTAAATACAATTTAAAGGAGGAAAAAGATTATCAAATCACCATGTCTTAAAGGAAAGTTTTCTGAGTTACATCTTTTTAAATTAAATAGAAGATTGAATTTTATGGTATAATTCCAGAACATATGATACATACTGTAACACAGTGTAACATTAATAAATATTAATTGTATTTTTTATCATTATTGTTCGGTATTGATTAATGAAAAAATAAAACTGTAATATCCAAAGCTGGAGAAAACTTAAATAATAAGTTAAGGTTAATTTACGTAAAAATTTTTAGGATAATTGAGATATTTAGGTTTTATGTTAACTTATTTCTCATGTGTTCAATGTTAATGAAATATCGTCAATTAAACTTTTAACCTTATTTATAAAAAAAAAAAAAAAAAAAATAACGGATTAACTTTAACTTTTAACTCGTAAACTATTTTAATTTATCTTAACTTTAACAAGTTAAAAAACATCAGTTACTTGCCCAGCTTTGGTGATAACTGTTAGAAATTATGGTACAACATAAGTAATGTAATAACATAAATACTCTCTATTCATGTTTAGGTCTATTTGACAGTTATAACATATTATAAATAATGAATATCATTTAATAATATTTCTTTTGAACTTAGTATTATAAACAGTCATAATTATATAAAGCTTCATTTTCGTTAAAATTAAATTATATATTAAGTACTATTGTATATTTCTTTATTCATAGATTAATAAAATATCGAGATAACAAAACATGTATGCTAGATGACGTTTACATAACTATTTGAAGAATCATCTAGATAACATAAAACAAAATATTATTTTTATCCTATTAAAAATTTAGATTCCCAAGACTGCTACTGAAATTTAATTTAATAATTTTTATAATTCTAAATTGAGGATATTCTAATAAATATTTATGAATAGATTTAAAATAGAACATTACCTGTGTGTTCTTCTGCGTTACATTTCTTTATTGGACAATTATAAGTTTTTGTCTTTAGTAAACACTTTATACAATCTTCACAAAACTTATGTTTGCAATGAAACAATGTATCTACTGGCTTATCTTGATTACATTTTAGGCATTTCCCTTTAACGTGTATATAAGCATTAACCGTTTATTTTAATAAGAGACACAGTCCAATTTACAATAAATATAACTATGATTAATCTTACAATATGTTCATGAAAATTAATTCATTTTAATAACAGCAATATTATATAAATAAATTCTTCTAACGCGAAAATTTGAAAACTATTATGGTATCATTAAGAGATGGTAAAAATATTATAGTATTTTTAGGATACCTACCATATGAGTCCTCAAACCCAAACAGGATCGAATAGCGCGTCTTAATTATTATAATAAAGAAAATTTAGAACTCATCCTTAATATGGATGCAAATGCTTACAATACTATATGGGATCAACCTGAGAGGTTGAGGTGAGAAACTAATGGATTTACTTTTGACTAAAGATATAAATATACTGAATAGAAGTAATGACTTTTATAACCAGGAACAAGCAAGAAGTCATTGTGACATGCAACTTCTTAATATTTTCTTCTTAATAGCTAAGAAAGAGAGATACACCTGTTTTAATACATTTACGAATACTAATATATATTTATTACAGTTCTGAAGAAAGTAACTTAAGATGTGGACTGTATGTATGTGTTGAAATGCTGAAGACGTGAACGATGACAATAATCCATGACATAATACGTGACAAAGGTCCTCTACATGGATAGACAAGTACAAATCATATACGCTAATGTACCTTGTACGTCCGTCATATTACGGCACCAGCCAAGGCCCAACAGAATGTGCAAAACAATAAAAATATGGCGAACTATGGCCGATCAATAGCACCGCAAGCGGAGGCACTTGCTGTGTATATGAAAAAACGTAATTATTAAGGAACGATGATTGAATCTTAGAGACGAAAGACGTGTGTGTAGTGTATACGTAGAAAAAAAACTGTATACAAAAAACGATGGACGCTCGCTAAGGAAAGGACAATGGCCGAACGACGCGCGAACATGTTCAAACGGGTCATACACCAGCGCCACGGAAGACACGATGATGGGTATCAAATATTGTCACACTTGACACAACAGTCATTGATATTACGTTTTGCTCAAAGAGGTTAGTCCAGAAAAAAAAAAAGATAGAAAGTCTTCTCTGAACCTTCTCTTTTTGATCACAAGCACATACTTTCACTTTAGAAATAAACAAAGTTGAAACGGAGTACTATATAAATAATGCATACACCCAAAGAAAAACCTCAATTAATTTTGATAGAGGAATTTTATCAAGGGTTTATGATAATGTTTTATTAATACGAACAAAATAACTATTCTTATAAAAAATTACTGTTCAAGACAAGAAAAAAAATTATCATATTGATAAATATATCTAAGGTTCAATAGTAATGATATATTTATCAAATTGAACAATGAATTTATTATATAGATCGAGGTTTTTCTCTAGGTGTAATGCGACACGAAGGATTGCTAAAACTGATTATAGAAAGAAGTGTACAGGGGAAGAACTATAGAGGAAGACCAAGATTGGAATATATTCAACAGATAATAAAAGGCCAAGGATGCAACACATGTAGAAATGAAAAGGAAAGCGGATAATGAAAAACAATGGAAAATAGCTGCGAACCAATTCAACAATTGAAACCATCGAGAAAGAGAGAGAGAGAGCTTTAATACAAAATTTAAGCTATTATATTTATAAGTAAAAAATTGATTAGATACCTATGGGTAATTTTGATTGACAATTTTTTATTTCACATTGATTTATTACACATTGATTTTTTTCAGACTGATTTGTTTCACATCGATATATTTCCCACGCATCTATATAACACTCATATGCATTTATTCTGAATGTCCTTATACAGTCTATGCAAAACTTATGTTTACAATGAAAAAAATTTTCTACTGTCTTTTTTGTGCTATTACATTTTTCGCATAGATTCTTATCATCTAAATAAATTATTAAAAGTATTAATTATTAAAACAATCTATATTAACAATGCGACTTTAGAGAGTTCTCTTCCAATAATATTATATTAATTAATTAAGTGTTGTTGGACAAAATCATTTATGAAATTCCTGGCGGTATTAATAAAATAAAATTACGACCCTATTTAAGTTTTTTATTTTTCCAGTTTAATATTAGATATTTAACGTATCTATATATAATAAAAGTGTTGATTTGTTCATTTTTAAAAAGTTTAAGAAAATTTTTTTTTAAAAATGTTGAAAATTACCGATTATTAAAATTGTAATTTTTTGGGGGATTCCCCCCATTTACGGTAAACGGTAAACGTAGAATTTTATTTCAATTTTTGAGAGTAATGTCATCGACTAGATACATTTGTGATATTTTGATATATCGTTGAAAGAAATCAGTTTAGTGAGATTTAAGAAAAAGTGTTAACATACACAAAAAAAAACATAACAAGGAGATATAACGTTGTTAGAGCGGATACTACTAAATTTAAAAACAATTTTGAATCATATTTCAGTAGAAAATTTTATTTTATGATTGATTTTTTATACCTAATTAAATATTGTAATTATACAATGTTTTTTTTATTATTAAATTTTTATGTGAATGTAAAATACATTCAACTTACCTAACGTGACTCTCTTCATCGATGAGTTATCACCTAGAAAAAGATATACATGTAATAAAAATGAAAACAATTTTTTACTGTGTCTTTATACTCTTTAAAAAAAAGTTTGGATTTTGATAAATAAATTTGGTTTATATTGTTTTTGGAATTAGTAAAAACTAGACATAATAATTGCTTATAAAAATGTAAAACTGATAAATTCGTAATTCATAAAAACACAGCAAGGAGGATAACGTTGTTAGAGAGGTTATACTAGAATTCCAAAAATTATTTTGTTGAAATGAAAATGAAAATTTAGTATAATGATTTATTTTAAGTAAAACATTTGTAGTTCATGTTGAAATAGTATTATAAAATAGACTGTATGTGATGTACGAAACGTATTGTTTGAACGAAACGCTCAATAAAGATTTGCGGGTTAGTTTAAATTCATTTTTAGAGTCTCTAAAATCATGCGATGAGAAAGAAATAGGGAGTGGACTGTATATGCGATTGAGGATGGTACTTAGACTAGATTAAATTATAAGAATTAAAAAAAAGGGGTTATATATTAAAACTACAATAAATATAAAATATCATAATATTGAGTATTGGGGGGTCACTTAATACTAAAATGGACGACAAGGCAGCTCTGAACGAAATAGATAAAATATAATATAATTATTACAAACAATCAAGACTGAACTGTGTAACATACAATAGATGAATGATGAATGATGGCAGTGAGAAGTGGATAGTGTGAATACTTTACGTTAAAATGTTCAAGACTACAAGGGTAGTCGCCCAATATGTAAATATTTCAGATATGGACGGGGCAAACACTAAAGACAGGTACGACAGATCGAGGGATCCAAGCCACAACACAATGTGCAAAACATAACAATAAAATATATGGCGCACATACAAACGGAGACACTTGTTATGTCCACGAAAGACGCACAATGGCATAGACTGTTATAGCAATTATATAACCACAGCGAATCACAAGAGCCATTAATCCATTAAAACGACTATAAAATAAACTATTAATAAAAATAACTAACTTGTATTGTGTTAACTAACACATTTAGTTGTTATAAAATGAAAATAATTTTGTACTTTATAATTATACTCATTAAAAAAAAAAAGTTTTAATTTTGTTACAAATATGGGTTATTTTGATTTTAGGATAGTAAACAACTAGACACAATAGTTGCTTATAAAAACGTATAACTTTGATGAATCCGGAAGAAATAAAATTACTCCGAGGGGAATGATGTTGTAAGAGTGAATGTTATTAGAATTCAAAAACAGTTTTGTTGAAATTTAAATTAAACTTTAACATTTTGTGTAATCATTTATTTTATTGTTAAGTAAAACATTTGTAGTTCATGTTGAAAATATATCCTATTTTCGTAGTAATTGTCTATTTTACTATTACAGTATGATTTTGTTCTAATACTTTTGTTTAAAAAGTAATTAAATATTATTTTGAACTCTATCCTTTCAACAATTTATTGGCCCACTTATTGGTGTCTAAACAGAATTTTTTTAAATACATATCCGGTTTATCTCCAAATGACATCAGGTCACTGCGAGGTTTGTTTTGAATGATCTTTATTACCTTGTTAGCCAAATTTGACCGGATATAAAATAAAAGCCTATAAAATAAATATAGGTTCTTGCAAATTTTTGACGAATAATAAAAACACACCGAGGGAAATATAAAGTCGTTAAAGTGGATGTTACATAATTTAAAAAACTGTTTGAATCATAATTTTGTTGAAAATTTTTATTTTTAAGTATGACTTGTAACGAATATTTGATCACTTCAACCAATCCTGTTTATTAAAAATGTAGTAATGCTCGAATTTGTATATATTATAAAATCACACAATTAATTTATTATTTGGTCTGTAGATGCATTCGGTAGTGATTTTGGCTCGTAGTAAATCACAATCTGTTTTTTTTTTTTATTCTTATTGCATGTTATCTAACTTAATCATTTTGTAAATATAATTTCCTTCCAATCCACCTTGATAACGCGTACCAGTTATCATCCGTTATCAGATAAGGATCCGTATCCGCTCAGCATACATTGATTGTCAGCTGTTATCAACATAAAAATCGTGCGGCCGATTGGTCTTGTTTTTTTTAATAATGAATAACTGAAGTGAAAATCAATCACGTTCTGGCCGTTAAAAAGCGAGTTTTTTTGTTGTTGCTTGTGTTGTCAGAAAATACATCATGGCCGGTTAAATTCCAATTTTGGCCATGGTTCTCTCAATCATAAATGGAGACATTGTGACGGACTGCAAGTTGGACATTGCTTTCAATAAATAACGGTAACTGGTACAATAATCTCTTTGAACTTCAAGTCCACAATGAATGGTTTACATTACCTCGATGTTTCTAAAACCTTTTTCAAATCATCAATTTAATTATGTTTTTTGTTTTATTATGACTTATCTGTCAAAATTAAAACTATTGCTCTAAGAATCTGTAATCTTGATTATATTTTAAAAAATAATTCAAATCTATGTGTTATTTCAAACTTTGTTTGAGCGTTACAGAATGTTTTTTTATATCAAATTAAATTTTGTAATAATAAAAAGTTTTTTTTATTATTTGACTTTTAAGATACATTCTACTTACTTGACGTGGCTTTACTCATCGACATATAATGATCTAGAAAATTATAGACATGTATTAAATACAATTAACTCCTAAATTTTAAAACTTTAATATATAAATAATTTTGTAATGCTAGTTATACTCTTTCAAAAATATTTGTAATTTTGTTATATATATGGTGACAAACAGCCCCTTAATATTAAAGGGAAATTGCCTGTGACTGTGCGGCGATGTTGTCTATTTGTAGAAAACCAAAATAAGGAAATAAGAGGGGGTAAGAAAAAATAGGTACACCTTCTTATGAATGTGCAAAATACGGATCTATATATTACAGTTCTGCAAGTAATAAAACTCTTAAAAGTAAAGGGAAAAAGGGGATAACTTGCATACTAAAACAAGATGACTCTTATGACATGATAGAATAACAGAATGAAAATAAATTAATAATTTGAGGACATCGGAGAGAGTGGCAAAGTAAGTTATAATGAACGTAAGCTAATAATATACAAATTCAAAAAGACTATACAGAGAGCGAATAATAATTGTATGTATACGTATTATAAGAGGCGATAGACGTTTGTACTGTGTACGTACAAAACAAACTATGGCGCTTGCTGAGGAAGGGACGACGGCCGAACGTGGCACGAACACGTTCGAATCGGTCATACATGAGCGCCACAAAATGTGCGAGGACGGGTATCAACTATTGCCACATTCGACCCAACATATATATTTGGTCTTTATTGATCTAATATAATTAATAACTAAACACAATAAATGCTCATAAAAAAATAACCATTTTATATTATTAATTTTAATATTATACATTTTACAACACTATAAAATATGATTTTTTTATAATTAAATTTATCAAATGGCATTATATACAGAGTGATTTATTTATCATAACTCACTCAATTACTCACAGAATAAAAATACTTTTAAACTTTTTTTTTTTGGATACCTTTAGTCACATATTATTCTTTAATTATTAGCAATGTAATACTTTTTAAGTTCATATCTTATGTCTTGTACAGGTTTTTTTTAAACATATTTTGAATTTGATAAAAGGTTTTATTTTAATTTTAATTAAAATGTGATATTTAAATTTTTAAAATAACTTTACTCGTATTAGAAATTATAATTCATAGTTTCAAATTTTTGAGATAATATACAATTTATATTATACTTATATAATTTATGAAGGTTTATAAATACAGGTACATCATTTTTCTTTTGTAACTTCGCAGTTACGCAGAATTTATTGCCAATTATGACTATCGATAGATGTTCTGTATTTCTATTTGGTGTATTTGTAAATGTTAACTCACAACAATGTCCCTTACAATCAAACACATTAAGCACATGTGGTAATAAAGCTAAGTAAATATGTATGTTTTCATTTTAAAAAATTACGTTAACACCCTTATAAAATATTAGAAATGATTATAAAAAGTAATTACTTGCTGATAATTCAAGAAGTGTATGCAACTAAATGTAATCAAAAATTATTTTTTAAATATTGTATTTATTATGGGAGTAATCGAGTGGTTTTCCGATAAACTTATCACTTTTTGGTACCTCTTTCATCCGACATATTTTTTTTTAAATAAGATAGGGAGTTCAAAACTTGAAACATTCGTATAAAAAGTAATATGTTTTCAATTTAACCTTTGGAAATATTCCAAAAATACTACTATGAGCTTCAAACACATGCAAATTAAAACTTGTGTTACATATTATAAGTTAAAAAATATTGATATTTTTAAGGTCAATTTTTATATTTGTTTGGAAACAATAATTTCAATTTTAAATTCCTATAACTTGTTGAAAAATGTATGGATTATAATAATTATTTTTATGAGTAGTTCATAGATACTTTTTTTTAAAATCATTTCCCCTTATACAGAAAGGGCTCAAAACTTGAAATACATGTTTAAAAAGTAAAATTTAACTATAGAAAATATTTATGAAATACTCAGGACTTAAATCATATGTTAAATTAAATATTTTGCTATTTACTATAAGTTAAAAAAAAAATTGTCCCTAAACTTTATCTTCTGTAAACCCAAAGTTAAATAAAAAATTTTTGTACAAAAAATCACTATTTTTTTGTTGTCATAATTTTATATTTAAAATGATTATTTTGATTAATTTTTTTTACTAAAAAATATATTCCTATATGAGGGAGGGGGTTAGGGGTATTTAATCATTAAACCTATAAAAAAAAAAAAATTAACAAAAAACTTAAGGTTTAGTTATAAATTAATTTGATATAATTAAAAGTTTTTTTAACTTTTAATGTTAATTCTCTATGTATATTAAAAGAAAGAGGCTTCCTTTCCAAATTATGTTCTAGTTACCAATAAATAATGATAAATTGGAATAACGAATTAAAGGGAAATTCTATTTTAATTATGGCAGCAATTTGCACATAGAAGATAAGTTATCAGGACAAATTTTTTATTTTTAATACGCAAGATAAACTGAAAAAACTCAATAAGTACTTTTCATAAAATTGTTATTGAACCATTAAAAAATAACAGTTATTTGTGAATGATGATAAATAAAATGTGTTATATTTATTAAGTAAAATTAAAACTATATTAAAAATATTATTAATTTAAAAAACTAAAAAATATTAAACTCAAAGCCACAAAAAATTAATGAAAAGTCGCGGATACGTATTTCGGAAACAATGTTACCATTATCAACGCTAAACACATACTGACACCCCGACTAGAAAAAACTCCCTTATATACCCCTAGTGACCTTATCAC